ACAAGATCGGTCGAAAACAGCAAAAGTTTGGAGAGCACAAATGGAGGACATTATACTGAGTAAAAATAAGAATAAACAATAAGAATTCTTTATCACAAAAATTCACTTAGAAAATACAGGTAAGTATGGTGTAAACTGTAGTTAATGTGGGATATATATGCACAAACATATACACATTTATTACAAAAACCAAATGCATATTAATTACAAACAAGACGAAACTTCTCTAAGGCATATTATAAAGAAATATACTACTCCTATTGATCCGAATAAAAAAATCAAACTTATTATCTATTATAAAAAATTTAAGACGGCCAACCTTATCCTCAAAAATAACAACACACCAACTAAGTCAAAATTACAAAGAACAAACATTATCTATGAGTTCAAATGCCCTTTAAGAAACTGCGTTCCCCACCAAACCGGACTCATAAATAATTACATCGGCTACACAACCACATGTTTATCCAGACGTCTTACGTTATACCTATCTGATCACAGCTCCATCAGAACACATTTAAACACACACTCAGATTTACCTGACACTATTAGGAACATACTAATAGAAAACACAAATATATTAACTGCATCCACTTGCAAAAAAAGACTAAAATAATGGAAGCTTTAATAATAAAAAAAAAAAAAGCCAACTCTTAACAATATTAACTATGAACAAAGCCATAATGTGCTAACTGTATTCGGAAATTAAAAACATCACTACCACACACTGAACATACACAGAATGCACACACTCTACTAAGCTGATAATCGAATCATCCTTGATAATAGCTAAAGGTATAACCGAAAGCGCTCGTAAATACAAAAACATTCGGACAGTTCTACACACCCCTTGTCCAGAAAAAGAAAGCTCTTGTCAGAACACAAGAAAAATTAAATAAAAAGCTCAACCGTAGTACATTGTCTGTCGTTTTTAATGAAACATGCATATATATATATATATATATATATATATATATATATATATGTATGTGTGTGTGTGTGTGTGTGTGTGTGTGTGTGTGTGTGTGTGTGTGTGTGTGTCCGTTAAGGAATTGTATTCCTGATCAATCAAAATTCGTAAATAATTATATAGGCCATACTACATGTTTGACAAGAAGGGTGACACTACACCTTTTTGACCATAACTCAATTAGGTCTCATTTAAATACTCATGGAGACCTACAAAACCCTAATCTCAATATACTTGTTGACAACACAAATATACTAGCATCATCTACATACAAAACAAGGCTAAAAACATTAGAAGCCTTATTAATAAACAAACACTCAATACTATCAACATGGACACAATATTGACTGAAAACATTAAATAATGAAAATGAAAACATTATATAAATAAAACATTATATCAATAAAACAATCTATTTTTTAACAGTTAATATATTTCAATGTTGAAAATGGCTAAATGTATAGCCTAAAGCGCTCAGATAAAAAAAGAACAATTTGACAGTTTTCATATAATTTATCATCCGAAAAGTAAAATGTTATGAGTTCACATGAGAAATTGTATATATATATATATATATATATATATATATATATATATATATATATGAGCGCTCGCGCGCGCGTATTTGTACATACGTAAATTATTTTCAGAGAGGGTGTATCTGTAAAGGAACAAAATGAATCAAAGAAAAGAGGGGAATCTATTCTCAGTAGCCGCGTTTGCCTTCATAAATTCCCTCATTGGACGAAACGCGTGGGTTAATATATATATTGTTGTGGTAGGATCCACCTAATTTGCATAGTGGAGTACCGACCATATAAATATGGTTGTTACCGGGAAGAGAGGGAGGAATCAAGAGGAACCAGGACTCTGCCCGACTGCGACTCAGGAATCTTACCAGGAATATAAAAGACTATATGTAAATATTGTGTACACTTTCTTGTTTCAATACATTTTGTTCTAAGTACATTTTGTGTTGCATTATTATTCCATGCATTAGTCAAGTTTCAACATATATATTTATATATGTGTGTGTGTGTGCGTGTGTGTGGAGGCACGGTGGAGTAATGGATAGCGGCTTGGATTGCTAATACCCTTGGGAAAGGTGTGAATCCTCTTCTTCTCCCTCCAGCTATGGGTAAATAGCAGGACAGACTGGATTCTATAGACTTGGATGGCAACTGGTCTAGGAGAAGGACAACTCTGAATTCAAAACGTGCGAGGGGTCATTTGGAGACCTTGTAGCACTTAGTGCACCAGTTTTCTGTATTCGGCCCTTTCAAAAAGTGTGGATGGTCCTGCACGAAACACGCATATACTATTGCTAATATTTAGTTATCTCATTTACCTAACACAATACCTATATATATATATATATATATATATATATATATATATATATATATATATATATATATGAAGAAACATAGTTTTGAGGTGTGTTATATTTATGGGATAAAGTTCTCAGTATCAGAGATAGAGCGTATAATACAAAATATGAATACAAAAGTGAACATTGAAGTCAACATTCAGAGGCGACAGGCTGTTTCATGCATCTGAACAGATATTGCTATACTTGATTTGTTGCCGTCTTATTTGACAATTTGTATGTGGGATTGCTGCCCAAATACACATTTATTAAATTAGATGAGCCGGCAGCCAACAAGGAAAGTAAGCACAGTACCTTGTCAATCGTCTTTAATGAAATTTGTATATATATATATATATATATATATATATATATATATATATATATATATATATATTTAAGTTATGAAAACTTGGTAATCCGTATGGGTAATCCCAAGGAGGCTGAAATCCTGAGAGCTCAGTGCACATCCAGAGCAAATATTTAACCGTTTAAATAGGTCAAGATCCTGTCACTCCTCCTCCCCAATACTAAGTATGATTGAGAGAGATATTAAATTAAACCCTCCCTAAACTCTACTATCTCTAAATCACTCCTTATTATACTACCCATCAATTTTCATTTCATTTTTGTTTCATTTTTCCTTTAAAAAGGCTATCTGAAATAAATTATCCGGCGGAACCTTAAAAGGGCTCTGGTGAAATAAATTATATATAATGGAACCTTAAATATATATAGTCTGTTTTTTTATATATATATATATATATATATATATATATATATATATATATATATATATATATATATATTCATATATTAACTTTATTGCACAATATACTTTTCTGATATTTTTATCTAAGGATTTTACGTTACCCTCAAACGGATGAGTTACATTAAACGTTTGGTCAATAACTTTAATGAAGCCCGGGGTCATTGTAAAGTAACTTCCCATTTTTAAATACTTATAATGTATTCATTAACTATAATTTTTACAAGAAATGGAGTTGAGAGGAAAGTAGTTAGCATAAGGTTTTATTTAAAATTTGACATGGGCACCAGATTTCCTTACCAGTTTCTCAAGTCGCCCAAGAATCGCGTCAAATGATTTCACCAGGAACTCATGTGGAATGAAAGACATAACTTCTTGTATTCATCCTTCAACTTCTTCCGGAATCTTGCTTTGGCATAGCAGACTTGCTCCTTTAACCAACGCCAAAGAAACAAGTCACTGGTTGGCCACTCAAACATTAAATAGGGGGTTAATTTTCAATCACCCTGTATAATTCCTGACCGTTTATCGCATGAAAACCAGTCGCTAATTATTTTCGCTGCATTTACCGCTTTTAATCATTAACCCTATTCCGTCGGGCAGGAACAGCACGATTGCTATTTTTGTTAATGTGATTATAAATTACCTTTTCAATGAATTTAATGAGGCACTTTTAACAACTTTATCATTTTAAGTCCTCTATTACTTCAAATTATTAGAATATGATTAAAAGGAATAAAGTATCATATGTGATGAATTGTTCTAGAACAAGTCTACAGATAAACATACTGAAACCTGGATGGATCGATTTCAGAAGCGCTCATCTATGAAATCCAGGATCGAGGTACTGAATATAACATCAATCAGCTCAGCGACAAATTTTATTTGTATTAATCCTACACACACACAAACACACACACACACACACACACACACACACACATATATATATATATATATATATAAATTAACTGATTTAAAATATGATTTCTTCGCTACACAGAAATAACCATGTTTCAAAAACTGAAGCTAAAAACTTCAAATTTTGGAATAACTTATTTTTAAATTCACTGAGTTTTAAACGCATATACAAATTCATAATTTCCTGTTTAGGCAGGTGTGGTAGCGTGTTCATTTTTATTGTTCTATCAATTATGAGTTACGATCGAAAAAGAGGTTAAGTTTAGGGAGGGTAGGGGTGCATTTTCCAACGAACTCTAACACTCGTTAAAGGCATGTCGTCTGGGAATTTTTTTATTATTAACGACAAAAGTTTTTCGGCATTTTTATATATTGGATATCTCTGTATCCTTGGAAACAGAAAATTATGAATTTATATATTTATAAATTTGAAGTTTTTAGCTTCTGTTTTTGAAACATGGTTATTACTGTGTACTGAAGAAACCATATTTTGAATAAGTTATTTTATAATATTTATGCTCTTCTAAATTTACATTGAGCACTGTTTTGTAAAAATAAAAGTATCAATAAGAACATATATATATTATATATCTTACTGTTCTTTCTATTTATTATAATACATACATACATACATACATATATATATATATATATATATATATATATATATATTGAACTCCCCCGTCCTTTTCGACGTATGAGTGTCTTTCAGTTCAGTTTTTAATGCTTTACCTGACCCCACCGCCTTAACTCTCTCGCCAGTGGACTTGCCGCTATGGTGTACTAGCAAAGAAGGAACACAGAACTAAACTGCAGGCCATTCACACAAAAGATTTGTTTAGAGTGGTGAAGGCTTGTATAGAACCAGCCACACTTAATGGAGTTGGTGCAAATATTTACCACGAACACGATGAAAAACACCCCCTCAGGTGCGAGTTACTTGTTACTCGGCTGCTGCTCTTATTATTAAGATGGATGGGCAACACTTTGTTCACTCATCCCCTAAATTTCCACGTGCTAAACCCTGTAAACCACTTCACCAGGTTGGCTAAATCACGGGAAATTACCATCCAAAGGCGCTGCACTCTTCTCTACAACGTGAGTACTGGAGAGGTATAACTTCCTGATAATATATATATATATATATATATATATATATATATATATATATATATATATATATACACTAAATATGTAGCTGGAAATTACAATTTCAGACCAAATACGGATATTTTTTAAAACGTGCTCAATACACACTTCAAAATAGAACGTGTAGTGCAGTTAATACCATAAAAAAGATTAAATCTTTGCCTTATTCAATATCTGCGTTTCAACCGCAAGGTTACATCAGGTAGTGAGGTAAATTGCATTATCTAACGCCCTGCAACTTGTATTTAACAAGATATTGTTACCGGAAAGTTCACTGAAGGAAAGTGGGTATAGCAAATATAGAGGAAAATAAAAATAAACTTTTCTCTTGCCTTCTCGTCTCGCCTTCTTTTTTCTTACTATTTTCCTCTTTCCACTGCCCATTGCTAACCTTCATCCTGCTTCTAAAGGCCTAAAATCTATTTATTAATATGCCTATATTTAGACATTATCTCCGACCTTTCATTTAATATATGTACATTTTTTATTACGTTCCGTATATCAACCTCAATGGGTTATTTAATGTCGACAAGATTTTTATTGGTGTTAATATTTCTTCCCAAAAATGTATTTCTGGGTAAAATATTTCCAACAATATTGCTTATATTAAAATCTATTTTTATACTTTCATAGTATTTTGACTCCTTTTTGGGGAGTTAACTATTTGGCCATAGCTGGGACCCTGACAGGTGCTACCACCCCGCGTCAGGTTGGGCCTGGGAACACCAGCAATTAAGAGGTGGTTCCACGCTCCTCAAAACCTCCTGATCAGAGGCCTTGCTGCTGGACGTAGTTTAACGTCTTACCCAGGACGCGGATGTAGTTTATCGTCATACGCATGACGGACTCTATTTGGTTACATATATGGAGAAACAGTGGAGGCAAGGTGGAGTAATGAATAGTGGCTCAGATTGAGGAATTGGAGACCTGAGTTTTAATTCCAGTCGAATCTATCACATTCACTTCCGAGGGGAAAGGTTTGAATCCTCTTCTCCCCCCAGCTATGGGTAAATAGCAGGACAGAACGGGTTCTATAGCTTTGGATGGCAACTGGTCTACCGCAGAAAGGAATGGCAACGTACTGCGGGAAAAATCTGCCTCGTCAATTATGTGTCGAAAAACACATGGTCGCCTAAGCGTGTATCACGCACGGTACATAATTGACTGATATGGGGAAACCGTGCCTGTCAAAAAATTGTACTCAAAATCTAGACATTAACCAAATTTCGATTTTATGTCAAATGTTATTTTAAAGTTCAAATCTTTGAAGAGCATAAAATGCTTTTTCTAATGGCATCGTTGTTCTACAAGCGAGAAGTGACAGAAAAATTATCATAGAATTTACGGTTACAGTGATCCCTCGTTTATCGCGGTAAATTGGTTCCAAGACCGGCTGCGATAACTGAATTTCCGCGAAGTAGGGACGCCATATTTACAGTAATAATTTAACGTGTATTTGGACTTTTAAAACCTTCCCTGTACTGTTAACCACCCACCCATTACAGTACTCTATTTATAACCAGGACAACTGTTAAGCAATAACACTTTAGATTTAAAAAAAAAAATTGTTACTGTATTCAACACGATAGAATTTGAAGTAGAATTTGAATGATGATGGTGATGAATTTGCTGCACAGTAAAAATGATGATGATGAAGCTAATGATGATGACTTCTTCTGCGCAGCCGATAATTGTATTTTACGTGTCTTAAGACGGTGGTGCCCTTTCTATTGCTATTTTACGCTTGTTTTGTTGTTTCTAGACCAGGAAATAATATTTATTATTAATATTTTAATGGGTTTAATGAAAAATTTTAGGTGTCTATGTACCATAGTGATGGTATCATCCCAACAAATACTATAAAAGTATTTATAGAAAAGACACAGAGAGGAAAACTTACGGCAGTAGGAAAGTGACTGAAGCCGTTCCGCCAGATCAGGACCAATGATATTGCTGGATTTTATGAAGGTGTTCAAGGTAAATAACAGGAGCACTGAACCACGACTGATAATGTTCATCAGGTTGATTTATAGAAAGTTATCGTTATTCTCATCATCAATCAGGCATGGTCGTAGAATCGCTGCTCAACTAAAGACCTTCCCAGACATCTGGGTAGGAAAATTTTTATTCCTTCATGTCTAGCGGCAATTGGGCAAATAGATATGGTGGAAATTATCCTTCCTCCAGGTAAAACCCTGCCGTGTGATCATCCACCTTAATATTTCGCCTTCGTCACGGACACGTAAGTAATTATTTCATCGATTGAACTCACTGCCCTGGCCGTTGAGTACAGTCTAGGAAGTCCCTGCCCTAGCGACACTGTGCCATCATCATTCTCAGTATAAACATATCTATGGATCAGAGTCTACTCCAATGTGCAGTGTGGCTGGTGATCCTGCATGAAGGCTCTTTTTGACTTCCAATATGTTTTAATCCTGCTATGTGTCTAGCCACCCTTCTCAAAAGAAGCCTGGTGGGGGAACCTGTTTAATCGCCGATGTCCCAATCTGGTAGTATAAATCCCAATACTTTACAGGGTCTAAGAGTAAAGTGTTACTTGGTACCAGTAGCAATCATAGAAGGAAATGTAAAAAAAATATTGTACACCATTTTGAGCTAAAGAACTACAGTCTGAAATTCACGTCAGCTGTAATTAATGGGTTCAAGTAAATATTTCAATTATGATGTTTCTACTGTGTTAACCTTTTAGTACCTAAAGCATAAATACTAATACTTTCCAGGGACTAATTAGTCGAATAACTTTTTTATTAGCTTTATTGTTGCTTTTTTAGGAGAATAAAAATTGTTGGCTATGTTCAGTTTAAGTTGTAGATATAAGGATGTATTTTTAGTGCAGGATCCACGGGCGTTCGTCTGCGACCCGAGAATTAATTTATTTTAACATAAACCACCTGTGGATCGAATTTCACACTGTAAAATAGTGTAATATATATATTTCATTGGAACTAAACATTATTTATCTGTGTTACCAGAGTTACTATAAATATTCAAAAAATTCTCCCCACAAAGCACTTTTTTGTGTCAAAACACACTTTCGAAAAAAGATACGACCTATGGCCATATCACGTCACAACACCGGCTCTCGGACGATCAGAGAAGTTAAGTAACATTCACCCTGGTCAGTATCTACGTGTGTGACAGCTTGGGAATATTAAATACTGTAGGCTTGGAAGTGCAGATGGGGTAATGAATAATCCTTCGGAATTGGGACTCGAAAATTTATATATTCACTTACACGCAAATACTCTTGGGAAAATTATGAATCCCCCTCCACCTATGTGTTAATTAGTTGGGCTTCTATCTCTAAATCATTATTATCTACAAAAAATCCTTACAATTTCAAAATACTTTTTGGCTTTAAATAACCCGCCAAAGATTAGTTTTGTTTTGTTTTCTTTATGGCATACTGGTAATATTTTGTTTTGTCAAAGTCTATTTCTGGTAATAATTTTTTCCTTCAAAAATGTATTGCTGGTAATAATTTTTTTGCAAAAAAATATTGTTGGTAATATTTTATTTCAAAAATGTATTGCTGGTTATAGTCTTTTTTTCTTCAAAAATTTATTGCTGATAATAAATTTTTACAAATTATTTCTGGTATTAAAACCTAGTTTTACACTTTCATAGTGTTTTTAACCCATTTTCGACGTTAACTATATAGCTGGGACCCTAACAGGTGCTACCACCCCGGCTCAGGACCTGCGAACACCAGCAATTAAGAGGTGGTTCCACGCTCCTCAAAATCTCCTGATCAGAGGCCTCACTGTCGGATGTCGTTTATCGTCATACCCAGGACGGCAAAAGATTGGTAAATGTTAGAATTTTTTGGCACTTCGGTGTACTAGTGAGCTAGCCAAAATGAGCTGACTCATTTTATAGTTCACCAAAAGAAGGGTTAACCAATCAGAAGGCTCAAAATATTCAATGCGACGTGTATAAAGGCGGCCATGTTTTTTTTTTGTTTTTTTTCGGAATATTCACTGGCAGCCTTTGATATCGAAGACTGAAGAATTACAGAACTGCTGCTGGTGGTATTGGCGATATAGGCGGATTCAGTAGAGTGTCTGACTCGTGAGTGTTAATCTTTAACGTTGTTTTATTGAACAGATTACGTACTGCGCTGTATTCTATATTCATAGACTATGGTGAACATGGCTAACAGTAAAGCTTAAAAATCAATCGAAGAAATATAATAATATGGAAAATCTCTTTCAAAGAATTTAAGAATTAAAAACGCATGAAAATGGTACCGGCCATCGCGTTCCAATTCTGAGTTAAACAGTCTAGATTGACTTCACATGATGCGATTAAGAAAGGCTAAGTGATAACTAACAAGGCAGTATGTGCTCTCTACTTTACTCTGTTTAAGAGAGCAACGCAGAATTCAAACAGACGAGAAGGCAACGATAATACACACCACTATCGTTCATAACAACAATCACGATGATGCAGTATGGCGAAATTGTTACACTGTTTCTTCATAAACATTTTTATCAGCGGCATCTGTCATACACCTTTATAAGCCTACCATTGTTCCGTTCTGGGGAAGACGATAAACTACATCAAACAGCAAGCATCTGATCAGGATGTTTTTTGAGGAGCGTGGAACCACCTCTAAATTGCTGGTGTTCCTAGTTCCAACCTGACCGGGGTGGCAGCACCTGTTACGGTCCCAGCTATTGGAAAATGGTTGACCCTTCAAACACAGGTCAAAACACTATGGAAATGTAAAAGTAGTTTTTAATACCAGCAACACATTTTTGTAAAAGATTATTACCAGCAATTAATTTTTGATGGAAAAAAATATTACCAGCAATAAAAATCCTGTCGACATTAAATAACTCATTGAAGTTAATATGCTGTAAAACAAAAAAAACCGAACCAAATCTACCATTATTCAGCTTATTTTTATCATACATTTCGTCTGGTGCTTCGCTTATGTGTCCAGAAATTATTGTCAAAACTCAAAGAATCTGCAATATTATTGGTCCTGAGCTAACATATCGTTTCTCGCCGTAACGTAGATTCCCTGGGTCTTTTCTATAAATTAGTTTTATGGCAGGTTTTCTGTTGAAATTTCTGCTTTGATACATTGACTTGATGAATTTAAACTTAGTAATAGTTGGGTAGTTAGGGCCTATCATTTAAAGCTGAAATTTCTAGATGCATCTGTAAATTGCATTCTAAGAGTTTCTTCGCCCGAACGGTGGAAATCCCTTCCAACTTCTTCCTTTCCGCAAAAATATACAACCTAGAAGAATTTAAACGCCATGTCAATCGTTATGTTCTGTCTTTTTTAATTTTAATTCTTTCTACTCAGTAAGGTTTTCTCGGTAATGCATTGCGTCATAATGGCTTTATCAACTTGCTTCAGGTGAAATAATTAAAAAAAAATCTTAGCGAAAAAAGGAAAAATGTGGAGAGTCATGATCCCAGTAAAGTTCAAAAGGTTTGCAGTGATTATTAATTAAAAATAACAGATTATTTTCTTTTCATTTTCCGCAATGATTTTAGATTGATTTCATTATCTACTATCATCTTTCGTGCAACTTCTTAATTCCATCCTCACAGGACTTTTTATCTTTCCGTGGAAAGATCTTCTTGAGGTGACATTAATTTCCTTCGAAGGATATTACCAGAATGAATTGTAGGCCGAAGGTGCAATGCACCAAAGATTAAGGCGAATGATTGCAAATTTAACCAATCTCTCACAATTCCGAGCAGTTTAACAAAGAAAGATGCGGCCCTAGCATCATCCTGAGGGATATTGCATCATTTCTCTTAATTAACTGCAGAGACATGCTTTACGGCGAATTTTGGATTGATATGGCATTTAAAGAGAGAATCTCATTCGATTCTACAGTCAGGGAAGCATTTTCGTTCCGTTTTATATGCAGTGTTATCAAAATATCTTTAAATAATCCCTTAAAAGGAAAAGCAGGGATGTATTTTTAGGAAAATTACATAATTATGATCTGATTTTTAATTTTAAAATTTTACTACACAATACTCGATTTGTATGATGGGCGCAAAAGCTTTATGGTTGCGTAAACCACATTAACAAGCAAGGACATTATGTTGATAATAAATACCTTCCTGATCCATATAACAAAGTTTTGGAAGTATGTACTTAAATAGTTGTTATAGTGATATCCTTTATCTATTCTAAGAAAATCAATTTCATTATTTCCATCGCCAGCGTTATACGAAAGGCGGGGAAAATTCCGTAAATAATCAAGTACTATTTTTTGGAATTTTTCATCTTACTTTTTGTTTTTTAATTAACTTCCACGACCCCTGATAACACAGACGGTCATGGACGTCCACAGATTCCATTCCTTTATTATATCGATTTTCGCTGACTTCTTGCGTAAAATATTCGTTAAGTTTTAATTCTCATTCTCCCTGACTGACTGTCACTCAAAGCTAGACAACCCAATCTAGTTGGCTATTTAACCCAGTGTTTGAAGATGTAGTTTCATGCCTTTCGCAATGTAATTCTTATGAAAGTGAAGGCAGAAATATCGAACTCCTTAAATTTTACAAACTGGAGAAGGACTTTCAGGATATCGTCTCTTCCATCTAATTTATTCCAACTATTGACACTTCCACCTCCATTAACACGGAAACATTCCCTTTCTCTCTCATTCTCTCAACCTCTTTCTCCTCCAATTTCTTGCACTCTCTTTCCCGTTGTCATTCTCTCACACCCTCTCTCATTCTCATATTTTCTCATTCTCTCATTCCGTCTCACTCATTCTCATTTAGTTATTCTCAGATTCTCATTCACTTATTCAAATTTTATCATTCTCTTTCATTTACTCTCCCATTCTGCATACTTTTTATCCCCATTCTCTCATTCTTTTATCCTCATTCCGCTATTCTCTCTCTTTCTCTCTCATTCTTTTCATTCTCATTTTCTCATTCTTATTTACTCATGCCTCTATTTTCTCTGATTCTCTATTCTTTTCATTCCCCTTCTCTCATTGTTTCATTCTTATTCGCTCATTTCCCCATTCTTTCTCATTCTCTAATTTTCTCATTCACTCTCTCTCTCTCTCCCTCATTCTCTCATTATCTCTCTATCATTCTCATTCTCTAATTTTCTCATTCACTCTCTCTCTCCATCATTCTCTCATTCTCATTCTCACTTTTTCCAGTTTACTAGTTCTGCAGCTATCTGAAAATCCTATCGATCAAACCAACATGGCGTCCCCTTATCTTCTCTCCACCCTTATTGACTCTGACTGCCCGTGAGAAGTTTTCCTTTGTTTTGTCGGATCTAATTAAACGCGCCCATTTGTCAAAAGAATGTACATTCCTCTTTCTCGCGGGTACTGTCATTCAACCAATCAAAGGCGTATCCTACTTTGAAACCCCAAATTGTTGCTAGGGCCAAAATTAAACACCGCGACCTAAATCTCTTCAACTACGTGACCAAAATCTCACAACGGTCTACGGAGACATTCTTTCTCACTTGTCATTGGGAGATCATATTCCCAATTCGTTACTCGGCCGTCAAAACCTCCGTTCGTGGTCACCCGTCGACTCAACCTTCTTCGCTACTCGTGTGATTAATATTAACTTTTGAAATTCATTTGCAAGGAAGAAAATGACTATTTTGTCCGAAATTACTTTTAATAGTTTTAGATAAGGATATATCATTAAATATCTTTATATATTCCGTTGTTTTCAGAGCAGTATTCGCATGTCCACTATTCTATCCTCTCGCCCTCATTAGGCGTCTGTCTTTGTAAAGATTTTGAAATTACGAACCAATTCATGGACTTGGTTATTTCTCATTCCTTGTTGACGACGAATCATTTTCCACACACCAACCCTCTCTCTCACAGACGGGAAGAACTACATTCCTTGGTTGCAGCAGGTCTAACCTTCGCAGCTAGGACCCGCGCCATGCCACTCACATTGTACAAAACCACCAACATTCTTTTTTTATTCCATCGGTGTCAAGTAACTTCCAATCGAACATCTTCTCACGAATCACTGATCTGAGGAATCGACTCCCAAGAGGATGTTTCCTCGATCACTACAATCTTAATCTGTTCAAAGAGAAAATTAATCATTATCTTCCTTTCTTATCCGTATAAACTGCCCCTTAACGTAACTCTCTACATCGAGTGGTCCCCAAGCCTTTTACAGGTTGCATCTTACAATATAAAAAAAAAGATCTACCGCTTGTTTCTCTCTTCTTTTTATAAATCTTTCCTAGCGGTTATAATATTATGTCTTGCTTAGGCTACTCTCCCTGATGTTATTAGAAATTTCTCCACTCACTCCAACGGACTTCTCCTGATTCACTTTTAGTTCTTTATTTAAGGCGTCTTGCATAGTTAATTTGTGTTACCAGGGATGCCTTATTTACTCATCAACACTGGTATTAACCATATTTTGAGACTTTACTGCACAAGCAGACAAAGAGACAGATGAATTAGCAGGTTAAAGTTTAATCTTTGTGTTTCATAAAGCTGAAAATATCACTTGTTTTTTGTTTTGTGTTTTTTTTTTTTTTTTTGTAATCACTGCGTTTCGTCCGTTCTATCCTCCGACGTTCATCAGGTGGCTGCAGGTTACTATTCGGTTAATTTCTTGAATTTGCGATTCATACATTTCATTCAATCCACGAGGGAAGTATATATTCATTCCGCCTTCCATACTTAGTGGATATAATTCAAACTTTGTCAGGGGAGATAATTCATAATCAGCCAGGGGAGATTATCTCAGTTTAAAACTCACCAGCCTTATTCATTGTTGTTTTGTTTGTTCATTTCCTTCACTTAATTAAAGAATGTGATATACAGATATTTTGAATCCATTCTCTGTTCGAGTTACAAGTACATCCAGAAAGAATAGCTGTTTATTATTTTCTTCTTCCATTGTATACTCGATGAGAGGTCTTGTTGGAAGAAGAAAAGAATCATCTATCATTCCCGGATGTAATAATAACTCGCACGGAGAATGGGTTCAAAATATCCGCATGTCACAAGCCAACGTTCACCTGAGAGTACCTCAACTACAAATCCCAGTATCCATATAGTGTGAAGAAAGGAATCGTTCGATGTATACAACACTTGGCAATTCAAATACAAACCAACAAGAGTTGATCAGCATAAAAGGCACCGATCAGACTAAAAAATACCCGGTAAAGGTGATATCAGAATCTATCGGTGGGAACAGATGGGACAATGAGGAGGTTTAGAATATTGCCACGGTGTTTCTACCTTAACAGTGGAGGTTATCGAAAATGTTTCAGAAGAACCGAGGTTCCTACAGCAACAGGAAAATATTTAGAAGCAATTCCACTCTAATAAGAAATCTCAGTGCAGTTGTCGAAGTGAATATAAAAGTGAAACAAAACCCGACATTAAATTTAAGGCTGGGGGGACATCGGAAAGTCGTAGTGAAAGGTGCGGTAATGAAATCGGTCATGGCTGATCATGTATAGAGGGAAAGGGTTATCATCTGCCACTGTGGAATGAACTGAGAATATTGGACAAGAAAGATCACGAGATAGGCGTCTGAAATAATCAGCACATATGCTAGGCTATGAAAACCTGCTAAGGAGGTTTTCATAGCCTAGGATAAAATACAATATGAGTGACGCGAATAAAGAATGAAATTCAAGACAACAAGTCTTCAATTGCATCAGCAGCAGAAATTAAAACATGGTCAGCAAGAATAGTCAAAACATGAGACAGTAGTAGCAGCAATTGCAACTTAATCAGCAGCTAGATTAGGTTTAAAGCTCCACGTTCACTGCACAAAATTGTCTTACGAGACAATGGCCAAGTGACGAGTGGGTAAAAGCGTTTGTGAATTTGGTGACTGTGCGTTCAGTACCTGGGTCGGGCAATGTGTACTTGCACTCAGTGCAAACGGCCTTGCAATACAAATATGACTAAATAAAAATAAAAACTATACACGAGAACAGATAGATTAAATTAAGGGTTCTGTTCAGAATTCCCTGTAGGTTACCCAGATCGAAGAAGGCCGGAGAACAAAATTGATAACAAAGATTCGGACAATAGTCCGAATATAAATCGTGTACTAAAAGTATATATAGTCTGACATAACCATTGATTGCAATGATTTACCGACAATCCAATAAGAAAGTTAGAACAAATTATATGGTTAGTTAGAACAAATTATATGGTTAGTTACACATTGTCGAAAGTACAATTTGTTTCATGTTGAGCCTGTTCTTTTTTATACTTTGTTTTTCTTATTTTTCATTCAATGATTTTCACCCGGTACATGTTCCGACAGCCACTAGTGGTAGAGGATGGCAGAACAAGAGGAACGGATTATGAAAATATGTGAGAAAGATAATGGTTAACCCTAGACTTGAACTTGTTAAGCTTGTAGGGATCTGGGAAGCATCCTCCTGGGAGTCAGTTTCACATAGCAGAAGTTTGTAGGAGGAAGCCGCTCGAATGAAAATTACATATTGCCATTGAAATACCAACGGAGTGAAGGTGGTTGGCTATAAATCTACTGTTTTGTTCGTTTCAAGATGATATAAAATTGTAATCATTACCGTAGGCTAATAGGAAGTACAAAATGAAAATAAAATGTCACAGGTTTAATAAGGGCGTCTGCATTTAATCTCGTTCAAGCATCCCAAATAGACCGAGATCTTACTAAAGACGTTCGCCATAGATAAGACTTTCTTTTTATCAATCTGAAAATGCACCGAAGGCGCTGGCAACGACTTCACTTAAAAGATTATCTTTTGCAATGAATTCGTTCCCCTCTCTTTTCTTCATTCACAAAAAATAAAAAAGAAAGCAAGAAAGAGAAGAAAAAAAAAAAAGAAACAATGACAAGGTCAACTGCGAGCAAAAAAAAAAAAAGCTTCCGCTTCAGAAATGCAGGTATTTATTGTCTGCATCTTTCAAACCCCATAAAGCATTTCCGGTACGTCACATGATGTCAATTTATTTTCATCCAGACAGGGTATTTTCTTTTAGATTACATCCAAGTGTTCTTCAGCCGATATCAATTTTTGTCCTTCCTTGACCGAAAATCCTGCCAAGTTAGATAATGGATGTAAGAGCCTTTTTGCGTATAGGGTATGGATATAAATGCGTTAAGATATTTAACGATAGGTCAGCTGGATTCGTGCTGTTTGCAACGTTTTTTGTATGAGGTTAGAATAAAAAAATCTATGGTAAATGTAATATTTTAATTTATTATTAGATGAAACAATGTTAACCAGTATAATTGCCCCGAGGAGGCCGGGACTAGAATTCGCGGACTATGTGACCCGAGACGGTGTAAGTCCAAACGGACCAGATACGAGGTGGATGTTTGCAAAATATGCTGTGAGAAACTCAAGTATAAACACCACCATTATTTATCTGAAATTGAAGTATAAACACGAACGATGATTACCTGTATATCCAAGAATAAATTCGACTTGTACATTATTTACATTATTCGGACTATTGTCCTCATCCTTGTCGCTATATTTATTACTACGTTTCGGCCGTTGTACGCTCCGGCCTTCTTCAGGGAAATTAAAAGGAGATAACTGATAACTGATATCTATTACACATGGCACGGGGAACAAGAACAGTCTACCCCAGTGAGCGTAATAAACGGTTCAGTTCGACATTCCAACAACCTGAAGAATGCCGGAACGTACAACGGCCGAAACGTTGTAATAAATATGGCGACAAAGATGAGGACAATAGTCCGAATAATGTAAATAATGTACCTAATACCTCATCTCAGAAATATAGACAAATTCGACTTGGTAGAGTCAACTATAAGCTCTACGTATTTTTTACCAAATGTCTCAAGCATAAAAACAACAAATATCCTCCGGTATGCTCAAGTATAAACGTGACTAATGTTTACCTGAAGACTCAAGAATAAATGCAACAAAATGTTTACCAGAAGTCATAAGTATAAACACGAACAACATTCACCGATTGACTCAAGAATAAATCCGACCCATGTATACCAAAAGACTCAAAATAAAACGATCAATAATCACTGATAGACTCAAGTATAAATGGAACCAATACCAAAAAAACGTTTTAACCAATATCAAATTTCTTTTAGAATAAATAAATACCAAAATTAGACGTCCCTATCTAAATATTTCTGGCACTTAAAAGAAACCAATAAAACACTGCGAATAGGAAATTAATAAAAAAAGCTAGTATATGTAGGTCATTAAATGATCCATGTCCTTTGCTCATACATGAGAATTTATACATTACTAAGTTTATAAAAAATAAAAATTTACTTAATCAAAGAAATGAAATAGCTCTTCTATGCCGACATTGTCAAATATTTTCCTTAAATAATGAATAAAAAATAAACTGAAAATGAAGCATACCTATTTATATTTGATATTTTAACAATAATTTTTAAATAATAATTTAATTCTAATACATTTATTTGAAGTACAGTGTATTAGTGATTAGAATTAGAATTATATTTTAAAATTATATTTTAATACGACGTACTCATATTCAAACAACCCTTTTAGAAAAAATCTTCATGCATACAAATGTAACGGCAAAACAAAAGTTCCGAAAACTTT